TAATAATAATAATAATAAAAGCGTTTATTATTATAGGATAATATTGAAAGATCGTAGTTCAACTATACATTAGTGAAAATATAAGTTAACTTTTTAAATCAAACAATTTTTAAGCAACTAGAACTAGCTCTGGTGAAGCCGTAATGGCAGAACGTTGGCAGAATATTATATTTATTATCTGGTGAAGCCGTAATGGCAGAACGTTGGCAGAATATTATATTTATTATTATCCGGAGAGTAAAGATCGTTTTTTCTAACTTTATTGTCAAAGTGTCTAAATCCCTCCAGTATGCACTACAAATTCTAATAAACAACAAAATGTTAGTACAAACAGGTTTTCATAATGATTTAGTTTGAAATTCTTGTTAGGAAATAACGCATAGTTACTTTAGACCAACTTAACATAACAGAATGTTTCTTGACTGGCTGCAAACTATTTTTTAGAAATATGATATGTAGATGGGTTGTACTACGCATCACTTCTAATTGCTTAGGTCAATGTGTAAACAGATTTTTTTCTATATGGATATAAAACAAAAAAACAAAAGAAAACTGTCTAGCATTAAATATATCACAGATAATACACAATTTTAAAGAATAAATGAAACAACCATTCAAGAAATGTATAATATGTTGGTGCCATTTGCTCCAGAAATATTTTCTGTTTTTTTTTCTTTTTAAATGGAAATGAACTATCCAACAGTTCTTGACGCAAATCATATAATTTATTAGCTAATCTAAAAAACAGTAAAACAAATTACAATATGATAATACTGTTCGGAAGAATCAAAAATGAGTTTGTATACATTATTCGTATTGCTAAACACCTATACACTAATTATTCTGCTATTACAAGTAAGGTAAACAAAAATGTCATAACAAACAGGCGGAAATTATAACTGGGTATTGTTTTCTTAATGTATTTTTATTTTTTTAATTGGACTAGAATGACGGTTACTTATCTGGGCCAAGATAAAGAACGTTTATAAATTACTATAGAAAATACTCTAACATAATTTATAAATATCTATTTGTTGTATTGATAGCTCTGGGTTCCGCCTCTTCCGTAGCCTGAAAAAAAAAGAGAGAGTAAAATATTCGATAAAAAATATATAAATGTACATGCTAGAAGTCTTGTTAAAATTGAAGTGTCTTTGACTCCAATTAAGTCCTTTTATCTATTTTTTACGAGAAACGTATCCTTCCTCACGCCAGCTGTTTTTATAAAATAATAATGACTTTTTTTTATAAAGCTTAAACATATCTTACCCTGGATCCAATTGTTTCTTAAGAATAAAAGTTTGTTCGAAGAAAAAGAAACACGTAAAGTTTAACTTCTATTAATCGTCACTAGGGGGAAGCATTAGATAAGGAATCTAAATTATTTTGTCCTTTTATGTATGTTCTCGGTGGCTCAGCAATAAGTTTGAGAGCTAAAACATTAAAATTCAGAGTCCAAAGTCACCCTTAATATATATATATAAACTTTAGAGATAATAATTATATTGTTCTGTCTTTGTATATTTTATTAATTTCTGTTTGATGTCTTCGAATTTTTTTGTTATTAGAATAGCTATCAAATTACGTACTGGTACATGAATTAACCATGACTTGCAAATTATTTAAGGATTCAAATAAATAAAAGCGTTTTGTAACTTAAAGATAGCAAATCCTATAAAGCAAATTTAATTGCATTAAGAACTAAGTGTTTGCGTAACTTTATTTCTTATACCCTTTACATGCACAAACACAAACAACTTTTTAAACATTCTTCAATTAAATATTTGGTTACATTCTTGAAAAACCTTTTAATGACACATAAAATGCAAACAACAGTCATAATATCAATTGTGACCACAGTGCATAAAATAAAGCAAAATTAAATTCGATAAGTCTATTTTGCAATGATAATTAGTTTTGGTTCCTTAGTTTGATAAAGCTACACATCAAATTATTACACCTTTTTATAATTATTTTGTGAAAATTAGTTTGTGAAACTTTAGTTGTTCATTTTTATACAAATGCACTTTTGTGCTTATAACGCCTAAATATAAAGCTTCTTATTGGTTGTGATTACATTTAGATTTATCCTAGTATTAGTAAAGTATGCAGGTTGTTGGAAATATGTGTTTGTTTGAAGACTTTTATAATCTGTGCACAAAAATATCTGAGAAAATGGCGTATCTCAATACTCTTATCTATATACTATTAAAACTAAGATTGTTTATTTGTTTACTTGTCTGTAATTAACTACAGCAAAAACGGCGCACAATAGCGCCATATTTGTAATGAAATGAGAATAGAAACA